AAGTTGGTGTTGATCTTGAAGACTCAGTGAATACATAAAATAATCTTCAATGAACGATTTAGTTCCTATGGGTTCCTCTTTCTATATAGATACGGAGGTGCAGTTTCCTCTCGGACTGTTTCCTACATCTAATATCTTCATCTTTGTAAGCCGGAAGGAAGGATGAAAAGGAAGAAAAATCAATTTTGTTACTTTGGGAGGGAGGATGTTAAAGCTAAGGTTTCAGCTATATAGTGTGAGGTTCTTATAAGCGGATGCCCTCAGGACGCAAAAAAGTGTCCGTAACTGGAGCTGGCTGCTTACGAGAATGGTTCACATAAGCGTCCACTAGAGGTTGCCATAGTTAAGTTAGTACAGGGGCCATGAGGTGTCTGACGGAATTTCCTTTTCAGTATCCTCTCACAGGAGTTGAAAAAAACCAAAAATAAAACCAAAAACAAAACAAAACAAAACAAAACAAAACAAAGGGAAGTCTAAATCGTAATCAAACTGTCCACGGCCGCTTACGATAATGAGTAAAATACAGAATCTGTATGGAAGTTCTAAAGGGGTTTTTGCAAACTGAAGCTGTAAGTAGAGTTCTCAGCGTACGAGAATCAGTCCGGTCAGCTTCCACTGTATTGAAGTCATTCCGAAACAGTACACACCCACCCCCCTCCTATACGTATATTTAATAGTCTTGTTATCTCGAGTGACGAAGTAAATAAATAAATAAAGACTTAACTCTGTTCACGAAGACTTTCTGGGTTATAGCTTTTTTGGTAACTCGGTTCGGCTGTGGCCTCACTAAGAATTTAAGTAGTAATAAACTCATTTTTGGAGAGATTTCCCGCATTTTGAGAAACAAATCAATCCTCTTTTCTAAGAAAATAACGAAATCCAAGATATATCGGGCGTAAGAGGTCATGTGGCGTAATGCATGTATGACGTCATAACCAGAAAACAATCTGTATGCTGTACCGTTGAGGCTGAAGGCCATTTATTTATGTTGATGAATTGTCAATGAAACCCCAAAGGAGTGGTAAGGGTGCTCACTAGTTTGAACGTACGTTTAAGTGCTAAAATTTCGGCAGTTGAAATTCGATCAACAGCTATCTCGATTAATCATTATCATTATTCTTGTGTTTTGTTTGTTTGTGTGCTTGTTTGTTTGTTTTTAATGAGTGGTCCTATTATGATCAGGCAAGACTGGAGTAAGCCTTACATTATTTAGTTCTTCGCCTAATCCGTCCAGCTTATTTGTTTTTCCTTGCCATTTTCTAGCCCATCGAAATTTCTTCGGCTATGTTCGTCCATGAGGTTCTCTTCCTTCATATTCAGCCGCGAAAAAGCTTGGGCGCTTTCTTGCCGGACACTTATAAAGCTATAAAGAAGTAATTTAGGGCAGTCATAAAATAGCGTCAAAGTCATAAAATTTATTTCCCACTCTTTAAACAGCTCACAAATACTATATATCTTAAAAGAACGTTGAATGACTTTAGAACTGATTCCCTTTAAATCTAACGGATTTAACTACGCATCGTTCTTTCCATTTTCTTCCCATTGTTTAATTATGGTATTGGACTTTGGAACCAAGCAAAACTTTTGTTTCAGTTTTATTCACAGCTAATGCCGCCTCTCAAATCGTCAAAGTTGATGTGACCCCATCCACCAGAACTGGAGTCAACCAGTCGTACGTATGCGCGTTGATCAATAAAAGTCCCGACATCCCAGGTCTTACTCGTCATGGTCTCACTGCATCTACCAGTGTCTTTGTAGATAACCTGAAAGAGGCAGCTGATTTAATACACAGTAAATTTCAGGCTTTGCTNTGTCTATCAAAACTTGTATCTGATAAAGACGTTCACAGGCTTGGCTAAATATATGTATTTCGTTTAGGTGTTTAATTAGGTTGCTTTGTATTAGTTTCCATTGGGATAAAATCAGGCCTTTATATACCACTCCTTGTGAATATCACACCACTTGACGCCGACCACTTTACTCGAGGCTGTTTTTTCCTTATTGTTTATATCGTTGCTTAAAATAGCGTGTGACATTTTCTTATATTTTTTTGCTTGTAACCTGTATTCAGCGGCATGTCTCAGATTCTTGTAAATAAACTCGATCATTGCTGGCGGCTCCCTCCACTATTTGTTGTATCACTTGTCTCCTCTAATTATAATAGAACTGTTTTTCTATTCGGCTAAGCCAAGCGAAATAGAATAGAATTCGAAGACCCCTCTTTAAGACTACCTTTATTTCAAATTTTAACCAGTTGAGTGGACGGGTAAAGCCAAATTTGGACTTTCTTGACAGAAATCCTCTGTTTCGTTTTTATTTTTTGATTTTTTTGTTTACTTGAACAACATTGCAAAATTAGCAACTTTTTATATTGTAGCACATTTGTGATACACTTCCCTTGAATTTACGTTGTTTTCAAGTTTCTGAGAAACAATCGGACGGCGTCATGATCAAAAAAAAATTCTTTTCGTAAAGCGAGCTAAATATTATTTAATTTTGACAAGAGGGCACGGTAAGGGTTTAAATAGTGCCAGCGCGAGATTGTACCACGTGAACAGCGTCTGGTCAATGACGATGAAGTAGCTGATTGTAATGAAAGATACCATTATGCACACAGATTTAAAGTAGAAACATACTGCATATATACCTTGTCGTCGATGATCAGTTCTGCACGAATTGTGTTTATGTCACAGCCTCCACCAATCAGGAACGAGATGTAATGGTCCGTGAATTGTCCCGGCGGGAGCTGATTTGGAGGGTGGGTTTTCGTAACCTCCAATCCACCAGTCCCCTTGTTGACTCGCAGGTTGTCCTTTGTTCCTAGCTGTAGGGTTATCACCAT